CAGTTAGTGATGGTTGGAAAAAAGGATGCAAACCAATCTTTGGGGTTGATGGTTGTTTTCTTAAGGGAATATGCAAGGGCATACTGTTATCTGCTGTTGGTAGAAATGGAAATAACCAGATGTACCCAATTGCATGGGCTGTCGTTGAGTCAGAAAACAATGATTCTTGGCAATGGTTCATGGAAAAGCTTGCAAATGATTTGGAGTTAGGCGATGGACAAGGTTACACCATGATTTCTGATAGACATCCAGTAAGTATTTATCACAATTATTATTAACTTTTTATGATTGGGGACATATGTGTTTATTATAATAATTAAATGCATTTTTAATTGTGTAGGGCATTATTAATGCAAAGGCAGAGGTATTACCATTGATTTGGCATAGATATTGTGTAAGCCATCTCTACTGCAATCTTGTAAGGCGAAATAGAGGTGATGACATCAAGCTTGCATTTTGGTTGGCATGTAAGGCAACCAATGAGTTCGACTATCTAGACAAAATGGATGCTTTGAGGGCGTTGTCTGAGGAGGCTTATGCTGAACTGAATGAACTGCCTCGTAATTTCTAGTGCAAAGCCTTTTTTAATGAGCATTGTAAGTCTGATGCGATCGATAATAATGTGTGAGACTTTTAATGCATGGATTTTGGGTGCAAGATGCAAGGCCATTATTTCAATGTTTAAGACTTTAATTGACCAGCTCATGGAGAGATTTAAAGACAAAAAGTTGTTTGTTGATACATGGGCAACTAATATTGCACCTAGAGTTTTGAAGAAGATTAATGATAATAATAACCTATCAATGAAATGCAATGTGAGGTGGAATGGTGACAATGACTTTGCTGTGTTTGATGGGCATACACAACATACACATGTGGTCAATGTCCATGAAAGAAATTGCTCATGTAGAGAATGGAACCTCACTGGAATTCCTTGCTCACACGCTCTATGTGCATTAAGATTCAAAGATTGGAGTTTTGAGTACTTTGTTGATGAGTACTACAAAAAGGAAAAGTACCTTCAAACTTATGGGATAGCACTAGAATGCCTCAGAGGGAACGAAGTGTTGAGGAGGAGGCCAGAAGGAGGATGTTTGCCATCGAAGATGAAATCAATGCCAGGGCGCCCTAGAAGGAATAGAAGAAGGGCAAAGGATGAGCCTATGAAACTGAAGAAGGGGAAATTGACCAAGTTATCAAAGCATGGATCTGTGTACACTTGTAGTGTGTGTGGTGAACAAGGGCACAACAAAGCTGGATGTCCACAGAAAGACAAAGAACAAGCAAGCCCTAGTCAAACCAAAGTAACTTTGCTATTGCACTTTATTTGTGCAACTTTATTTGTGCAATGTTACACTTTATTTGACATGTTAACTTTATTGAATGGCAGGTCAAGAAAATAGGTAAAAAGAGTTCAAATCCCACACAAAAACCAAAAGCAGCAAAAAAGAGCACAAAGGTTGGTAAAAAAGGTGATACTGTCTGTCTGGGAAGGGTAGAAGGAAGAACAAGAAAAGCAAAACGAAAGCTTAATGATAGTGTAAGAAAAAATAACAATATTTACTGTGTACAATTCCTTTTTTTTTTTGTGTGTGTTTATAACTTTTTTTTTTTAATGTATAAGGTAATGAAATGTGCACCTTAATTTTTTTCTGTTCAGTTCATGGAGGCTGCTGGCATTGTCATCGATGAAGGCAGAGCGGAATCCAGAAAAAGATCCAAGCAGGTGCAGAACAAACAGGGTTCGAAAGGAAAGGGAAAGGATAAGGCTTGAGAGAGCATGAAGGCTGGTTTCTGATGGCATGACTACTTTTTTGTTTATTGGCAGTGTATACAGTTACTGATTTGGACTTTAATGTTATACTATTATTTATGTATGAAAAATGTATTTATGTGCTCGTGAACAAGCTTATTTTGGTATTATGCTTATGTGTTTCTAAACAACCTATTGGTGCTATCAAGTACAATGTTCTTTTGGTTCTTTTATTTGTTACAAAATGTTTATCATCTACTGTTATTTTACAGTTTTTAGGTTATCAGAAACCTAAGTATTTATTATTTATGTCTTGATTTACAAATAGCTTTACAAATGTAGAAGAGCTCTTTTTCCATTGTTGTGGAACATATTCAATTACATTACAATGGTTTATAGGCATGTTCTCAAAGCTTCTAAAATTTTGGTCATCACATATGACCACAAAACACCAAAAGAAGGGCTATACATTTACGCTTGAAACACCACCTACCCACTTAGAACAACACCCAAAACATCAAATACACAACCATTAGAACAAAGACACCAAATATAGTATGAACCATTAATTTTTTGAGCTCAACACCAACAGAGGCTACAATCAAGACATCAAATTTCCTTTCAACAATATCATTCATAGCATTTGCCACAGTTTTCTCAATAATTTCATCAAATTTTTGTGTGGTGTCCTCATCTGTTGTAGAAATGGTGTGGCTTGACTCAACAACTGCACCTCCATTCACTCTGTTTCTTAATTGCCTTCTCAATACTGAATTTTCTATTGTGAGAGCCTTTTTCTCAGTAATCAACAACTTTAGTAGCTCAATGGCTCTCTCATGGGACAATTCCAAGTCATGCCGAACAAGATATGGGCACTTTAAATCTTGTCATTAAACAACCTAAAAGTAGTAAATAAAAATTGGAAGAAAACAAAAAACAACAGATGAGTAATATTACATTGGCTTAAGGCAGAACCCCAAATTTACCTCATTCAAGAAGTGCC